CCTGGACATACTAAATTCAAGTGTGATGGTAGTTTTGGATTGGTTAAGAAACTATATCGCAAAACAACAGTAAATTGCGTGAACGATATTGTTGAAGTTGTGAAAAAATCGAGTACAGCTGGATTAAATAAAGCTCAGTGTTATGACAATGGAAAAGGGTTTCAGTACTTGGATTTTAATTCCGTGTTGGGGATTTTCTTTAAGAAATTGAATGGCTTGCAAAAATATCAGCATTTTGTTTTTAAAGCAGCTAATCCTGGAATTGTCAAAGCTCAAATGGTTGCTAATGGTGCCTTTACTGAATTTAATTTGTTAAAAACTAGAAAAACAAGTGTTTCTGAAACTACCAAAGAAATTAAAACTTTTTCTATCCTAGTTCTAACTCCGCCTCCATTAGATTACAAACGCCAAGAGTACCTTTACAAAAATATTCGTCCTTTGGTGAGAGATGAATTTAAAAACATCACTTGTCCACAGCCAGTACAAAGTTCTATTAAATAATAAGTTTATGGCTATTCAACAATTTGTTGCAGTCATAAAAATATAATATTATGGCAAAAGAATGCATGGCTTGTATCAAACAGTGTTTTCCTTATGAAAAAGGACAACTTAAAAGTTTAATTTCTGAGCATGGTACTATGCTTGCTTCAGTCAATCCCCGACCTAACTCCAAAGCTCACACAGTGATAGTTACTAAAAGACACATTGATGACCTCCGTAACTTAACCAGCCAAGAATGAGCTGATATTTTGCCTGTACTAAAAGAAAGTATTGCTAAAATTGAAAAAGTCTACAACCCAGTTGGCTATCGTCTTAGTATTCCAGTAGGAGAATTGGGGTCACAAAACATGCCACCTCACTTTTATATGCGAGTAGTGCCAAAATACCCAGTTAAAGGTAAAGGAACCACTGGAGTTAAAGAGCATTACAAACCAGCAACTTCTGAACAAGAAAAAGAAATTAATGAAGCTTTTTCTCCAAATAATAATGGTATTATTGCTGAAAAGAGTAAAGTAATTGCTAAACTACGTAATGATAAATTTCCTGGTTATGTAACTATTCTTACGAAAGCACAATTGTCTCCTAATATTAATAACATAGACCAAGAGACATGAAATCAAATAGGTGAAATTCTTAAAGAATTAATGAAAAAATACGAAACTAAGATAAATTGTCACAACTTTACTATTGGCTGTAATTTGGGACAAGCAGGCAAACTTGTATCACAAGAAAAGGGAGAAACTTCATCAAGCAAAGAACGTGACTTATGTTTTACTTTCTTTCCCAAGTATAAAATGGAAAGATTTTGGTACCCAAATGAAGGAAGGCCTGTTCGAAACAACCAGCCAATTGGCACCATGGAAAATGAAAGAATTGCAGAAAAACTGAATGACCCTAAAGAATATGCCAAAGTTTGGGGTAAACAGGATAAAATATAAAAATCAAAAAATAATTAAATCATCAAAAGAATCAACTGAAATCAAACAATTAGAAGAAGAAAAAGAAAGAAGCTCAAACAAAATATCTCCATTATGATTAATTCCAGCAATGTTTATAGCATCAGGGATAACAGCCCAAGTATTTTGGATGCTAAGAAGGAAAACAGCCCACCAATAATCAATGTTTTTATATAGAGATAATCCTATATATATTAATCACATTATGGTTTATATTCATCCCATTCTGGTATGATAAAGTGAGCATTAAATTAACAAGTCTGTAAGTTATTATTATTATAAACAAGCACATTATTACTTTCAAAATGTTATTAGTTAATTTTCAGCCACATCAGCCTCACTCACATTTTAATTTATGTCACATAATAAAATGGTCACTTTGGTTTTGTTGCAGTCTGTCCCATATGTTGTAAGAATAAGAAAGAATACTGCGGCGCAATTTTTTTCTTATAAATACACCCACGATACCGAAAAGTGGGAGGCTTCCTTATGCATAATATATAAAACGGTCGTAAAAATCTTACTCCGAAATTTTAACGGGGAATAATACACGCAAATGGCGAATGGAAAGACAAATCAGGTTAACTTCGGCATCGAAAGATATATAAGTAGTAGAATTGACTTAGCAACGGTGTGTTCGCAGTGTTCGCCAGTTCGTAAGTTTACTTTCATATCGATTTCACTATCCCGTGATCGTTGACGCGACAATCCACACATCTACTCTGTAAATTTTTCAACCCATCCTCCGAATTTGGTATGTCCAAGATTATAAAATTTAACTTAATGCTTTCAAGACTACTAAATATGTTACAGATAAAATAAAATAATAGTATTATTTTTATTTGACCCTCCAGCATCATTACAAGCAAAAAACAGACTTTTAACAGTTTTCATCCTTCGATTGACCCTATAAACCAAAACACTGTCAGAAATGCTTAAAATACAACGTCAACTATTTACTTTGCATAACCTACATAGTTGATGTAGTCGGGGCTCTCACAAGCTTCATACTCCTTCATCAGATCCGAAACAATATCTCTGGAAATAAGAAAATAGTTTAGTACTACAGTCGGCACCAACACATTAACACCTATCAACAGACCTAGCAAGGTCAAACTCTTCCAAACTGTCTGAGAACATATCCTCTTTCTTATACTGATCCAAGAAAGCTCCACGTTTTCTGAACCGATCATACTGATCGCAAGTACGCTTCAATAACTATGTCAAAAAAACTATTATTATGGCAATCTGATTAAGGAAAAGTTCACCAATACTGCTCCTTACCGATGCTATGCTTGTGTGGTTTGCCAGCATAAGTCCACTAACGCGGTGTGAGGTCTGGACATATGGAGACTTCTTTGTCAAGGCCACTTGTATGCTAGCAGGACCCCACGGAATAAACTGTGCCAATCTTCGCTCTCTGATGCGGAGTAGTGATTTGTGCACCTGAAAATTTAATTCAAAAACAAAAAACAAAAACAAACAAAAATAAACAGCAAGTTACGCTACAATTAAAGTAACAAAAATCAAAGACAGCAGAAAGAAATTTATTTTTCTTACATCAGTCGGATCCGCCTCTCCTTGAATAATGTTTAACAACGATATATAACAGCTTTTCTTTGATGGAATTATAGATACCATTTTATTTTTCGGTTGTAATAAGCGACGCATCACATCCAATACTGTTGTTTTACGAACAGATTTTGCCTAGATACGTTACGAAACATAAATTAAAAGTCCCAGCACCAACTTATTGAGTATAATTTGTAACAAATAATACTCAACCTTTTCAACTTGATCACTTGTGAACGGAGTATATGCAGTCATCAAGTAGTGACATTTGGGTGTAGGTATAAGTGATGCGATTATGCCTACTAGATCATTATTCATGTAACCGGGGTATCGTAGAGTAGTAGTACTAGCCGACATTACGGTTGACACCTAAAATGACATAAATGAGTGTTGAGAAGAATGTGTAAAGAAGCATAAAGAACGGGAGGTAAGTCTTAAAAGATAACCCAATTTACCAATTGATTTGTCTGAGCAAAAGTTGGATTCTGTATATGTAGCCTGTCACTTGCAATTCTGTTTAATGCCGCATTGTCTAATACAACCTATAGAGCACAAGTTAGGTGTTCAAAGTTCACCCTAAGCTGCAGCACCATATCAAGAATGCTCACCACGCAGTCTGCATTACTGGTCAACCTTCTTAAAGTCAACATACTGTTATAGGGCTGCACCACGACATCGGAGACTTCGTCAGCATTGGGAAAAACCGAATATGTCTGAATAAGCTTCTTTGGATACCGATCATTCAATCGTTCAAGAAGAAATGAACCCATCCCAGATCCAGTGCCTCCCGCAATGGAATGTAGAAGCATAAACCCCTAATTATCAAAACTTTACAATTGAGAAATAACTCGCTGTCGATACGTATCAAAACTTTAGCCCAATCAATGACATAGTCAGCAACCTTTTAGAATAACAAACGGGTTATTGCTGCTCTGAGCCTACCTCCAAAGAGTCACTTCCATCGGCTTCACGATCGATCATTTCAAATATGTCTTCACAAACTTTCTCTGCCTGAGAAAAGCCATATGCCCATATGTTACCGGCACCACCCCCATCTTTCGAAAGGTATATATTTTCGGGATTATATAGGTTGGCATATGGAGATGAGAGAATATTATTTATTACCTGTTGGATAATTTACACAAAGGTGTGAACTAACTAATATTTTTGCAAACAATCAGATCGAGTTAAAAAGTAATTATTTACTCTCGGCTCGAGATCGAGAAGAAGGGCACGAGGAATGTAGTGTTCGTCGTCAGCCTATCCGAATAGGAGGGGGTACAAATTAAAGGCGAGTCGGGAAATTGAATAAATGCATACAATCAAATGTCTTGAGGAATTTGTAGCTAAAACCGACCTGATAAAAGAATACATCTTTTCTGTCTCCACCCTCGGTCGCAAAGTCTTCTAGTATACCCTCTCTACTAATTCCGTGCTCTAAACATAACTTGGACCAGAATTCCATACCAACTGACACGAATTATATACAACATGAAGCTTGACGTCAGGTTTTAGGTTTCAACAGGTCAACAAACAAATGTTCCCGGTAGAGACTTAATGTCCTCCGGAGTAATCTCTTGACGACAATTTTCTACCAAATGTCCTCTGGAGAACATTTACTCTGGAGAACATTTGTTCTTCAGAGGACTTTGTTTGTACAACTCTGCAATGTCCTCCCGAGAACACACTTCTCTCCAGGGTAAGTATCTCGAAGTCTAAAAGGCTAGCCTTTGGTTCAAGCCCTGCACACTATCTTACTCTGATTTCCGCATTGTCCAGTCTGTATCGTTATTAATTCACGCGGCATTTTGGAATCTTATTCTAGAGAACAGCCTTGCCTTGAGGATTTTACGATAAACGCGTCAAGGTCTATTATTATTATTATTATTATACTTGCTATGTGCTGAGTGTTTTTAGATCTACATCACATGATTATAAACCATCCAATCGTAAAATTGCTTCGAAATTCCGAGGACGTCCTCTATTCCTCTGACATCCTCCGAGAACACATTTTCTCTCTAGGGGGGAAACATCAATATTCTCCAGAGAACCTACTCTCCAGAGGCATTGATGTCCTCTGAGGGTGAATATTATCTGTCTAGAGAAAATATGTGGAGAATATCAGAGTAACATAATGTCCTCCAGAGCAATCTCTGGCAAACCAGTCTGGAATTTATAATAATGACTATAGAAAATCTATTAATGTTAACTCTCCCAATTCTAGAAATTAACAATTAAATCAACTTACTATATGACAATTATAATGGTAATCCGTACAACTCGTTCTTTCCTTTTCGCTTTACAGGTGTCAAGACGTTTACGTTGAGTGCTTCATCGGACGACAATAGCATCAAAGTCTCTTGGCTTTGGGAACCGAGCTATTACTATCGCGTCTTGCTAGTTTTAAATCAATATCATTCTTTTGGTGATAATTTCCTTTTTAGGTAAATTTATTTCGTTTGCAAATTAATACTGTGTACTTGTTCCTAATTCACAATTCATTAAAACACATGAATATACAAATGGACAATTGATTAAACCGTTTTTTACCATTTTTAATTGTGATATTATGAAAATTGAAATTTAACTTACATTAATGTTTATTATGTCCTGTTTGAGAAAATTGGATTTGTGACGGCGATAAACATTATTGATGGCAACATACTGTATATTACTGACGGCGATAAACATTATTGACGGCAACACCTGCTAAAACGTGTCGCATCACTAATAATAGTCGACGGCAACACATATCACAGGGTTGAATGATTTAACTTACATTAACGTTTATTATTATTATGTGCATGTTTGAGAAAATTGTATTTGTGACCAGAGTACCTAAAATAAGCAATCAAACCGTATTTTCGTTAATAACTCTACAACCGCGAATGCTACGCTCTTGAAATTCAACTGGCGATAACGGTAACGCTTGTTTACAGGTTGTGGAAAAATCGTTGTAGGTTATTTCTGTACGAACTTTAGTAATTCCAATTACAACGTTAATGACTATGATCGACGTATACGAATGCTAATGTGCATTAACATATCCATACTGATAGATCGAGCAATTTATTAATAGAACCGCAAGGATGTCTGCTAAGTTGCTACACTTATAATATCTATTGTTAATACTATACAAATGCACTGATCCATAAGAGAAGAATCATAGTTCTTGAAAGGAACAATTTAAATAAGCAATAAGGCCGTTTAAGGTAGAAAGAGAATGATGCATAATAGTATGACTGAGGCGCAATAAACACTTCCTAGAAAGTACATAAGCAATATCATCCTGAGATAAGCTAGTGTTGATGCCGTGAAAGTCTGAATTCATCGTTAACTATCATTCCCCATCCAGCTTCTCAGTAATTCATGATTTTTCAATACAGTCCAATCTTTTTCTCGTGATTCAGCAATTAGCACTTCCTGCACAACTCTGACTGCAGAGTTCAGCGCACCAACAATCCATGCATGATGAATATCCGTGTGTTCACCCGCCCAATGAATCGACTTTTCTACCTTTAGCATATCTGGCAGAAGATTCACCAGCTGTTCCGGCCCAAATAGTGCGAAAGCCCCGACCGTTGACTTCTGATTTGTCCAGTAGATGGATACGTTGTTGTCAGTTCCGGGGATCCATTCATTTTTGAGGCTCCTGTTGTGTAAAGTTTCCAGATCTCTCAATGCATATTTGAAACATTCATCCTGCGTAAGGGGGGCAAATTTGGCTGCATCGTTGGCCCACGTGTATGATGCCAACAACATAGCATCATTATCGGGTGAAATATCAGTGTAGTAAGATGGATATACTACTGTGCGAATCATAAGGTCTGTGGAAGAGCTACCACCCACCATACGATCGTCCTTCTCCCAGAATCGAGATTTGAACCTAAGAAATATCTTGGCAGAGTTATCGTAATTTAACTCGCGAATCGCGCGTCGCTTGCCATAAGAAAGTTCTATTATGTAATAAATCACATTTTTATTAAGGGCATTTTGAATTGTAGTTTTTGTTTATAAAAATTTGCATGCAACTCACTTGGCAAATCCCACTGCCGAACAACACCCAATGGAGCTGTCACAATGACTCGATGGAACTCCTCAGAACTAGGGGGTTGTCCTTTCCAATACACCTTTACATTTCCATTCTCAAGATGTTCCAGTTTGTACACTTTGCTATTGAGCTTTATCCTCTGTTTCAATACTGAACAAAGCGCATCGGGCAGTCTCTGCATTCCACCATCGATCGTCTTCCACGTTCGTTTAACATCTTCACCAGGATAGGAATTTGTAAACGTGTATGCATCCAAAACAGCCTCTACAAATGCCAGCCTAAAAAGACCTGTTGCTGATTCTGTCAATTCCATGGCCCCGATAATTTCATCAGCATTTGGTGGTGGATACATAAGGTCCGTAAGTAAAAGCTGGCACAGACAGAAATATTTAGTTTCCCTGTATTGTAAAATTATTGCCAAACCATAATAAATGGGAAAGTTTGTTTACCTTTTCGGGAAGGAATACTTCCTTCATATAGGAATATACGGAGTGACGGTCATATTTCTTAAGATACTTGACGCCATCATCAAAATTTTCGTCAAGTCGTTTAAAAAAAGGTTTCAACGCTTCGCTGAATAACATGATGGAGCTTGGGCGGACGGAAGGCGGAAATCCCAGTAGATGAAAATTTTTTACTTCTTGTGCATCTTTCTGAGTCAGTCTTTCGCCGTTGTAAAAGAACTTGTCGCTAATTTTCAAGTTGTAAATGGCTTTATCGTTATAGATGATGATGGTACATCAATGTAACAATAAAAATGACAAGCCATGCTTACTTATCGCTTGAGAAAATGAATGGAATAAGATCGATTTTTCGTTCTGGATGACTCTTATTCAAATTATTCAAGTGTTCAATGAGCTCAAAGACAAGAGCGTGTTCCCCAAGCGGTTTCCCATTTTTCTCGACATGTGGCAACCTCATTGCACCAAGTTCCGCGTACAGCTTATTTTGCTTAGTGTAGTCATCAAAGTAGTGCGTGTGGACACGACCACCGACACGAGACTCGCGCTCAAGGATTGTAATATTATTGACACCTGCTATCTCGAGGGGGTGAGCGGCGAACAATCCTGCATATTTGGAAATTTGGTTATGTGTATGCTGTGGATATAATAGGAGAATAGGAAGTACCCACCAGACATTCCTGCGCCTATGATACAAATCTCTATTTGAAAACTTTCGTTAATGCTAAATCTTTGTTATATTGTACTTGAATAATAAAGCATCTAAAAAAAACCCATACTCGGATCTCTCAAAGGGCCATTTTGGATTGGGATTTCAGCATTGATGATGTGTGGATGACTGTTGGGAATTAAAATGTCAATAGAAAAAAAACCAGTCATCCATAATTGAGGCGAAATACGTACAATTTTTTATAATACTTCGACCGAACTTTCTTATGTTGCCGGCTCTCGTAATTCTCGTTGAGGCGTAAATTTTCTACAAAACTGACACCAGAGGATAGGATGAGAGACATAATTTATCGAGTTTTTTTTTTTTTTTTTTTTTGTGTTGCATTTGTT